GTGCAATCAGACTCGCTTTCTTCTTTGCTTCACATACATGCAAACAGATGGCGATTCACACTGGCGCACAGCGCCCACTCAAAACTCAGAGATATGGAAATCGAGAACGCAGTCGGATGCAAACTTGCTTCCACAGGCTATGGCGCATAAGCGCCTGCACATCCAACCCTCGATACTGTTCCCAACACCACTGTTCACACTCACTTAGCTCTGGATCACCCTGCATACCCCACACACATTCCTCTCTGACATACACACACACACTACTGCCTAACTACCTCCTACAGCAGCTATGGCCGCTCTACTAACACTAACTATGGCTACGTATTCTCACTTCAGCCCACTTCGACTTCGGGCAACATGCAGACCACCTCGCACAAGACGCTGTAGCAGCACTTCCGCATGGCCTACGCAGAGAATGAATGAATGGCTGGGCGCTGCCTCTTGATTTATACTTCTGTAACTCGTTGGTCTGCCCGTTTCCCATGCCCTTGGTGCTCACAGTCCCACACGGTACTTGCTTGACTGGACTATGACTGACTGGGACCGGTACCGCTGACTGCATGGGTTTGCACTGCCAACTCGATGCAGCCGCACTGCCGACGTAACGCAGCTGGGCTCACAACTTGCCCACTTGCCTCTGTCTAAACGTGAGCCAACTTCGAAAGGCCACTTCCGGACCTTCCGGAAGTCTGTGGTCTTCGCCTTTCGAACACTGTAGCAGCTACAACCTTGACCCTTCAGGACTGTAGCAACTACGACCTTGACCTCTCAGAACACCTACAGCTGCGACTTCTACAAGGCTGTGACCCCTACTCATCAGATCTACAGATCGAACCCCTACAGCTACACAGACTTACGACAGACATCAAACAACTACCAGAATACAGGTCACGGGTTCAAACACTCGGGGGTCAACTCAATACTGTACATGGGCAAGGTAAGGTTTGGGGATCGAACTCTAGTGCCCGCATCTGTGACTGCAGAAAGGTGAAAACTGTTTCATCTGTCATAGGTCGATGTAGCTGTTCGGTCTTGAACCGTAGGTCTGTCGAATAGGAGTCGGTCTGTCGAATAGGGGTCATAGTTGTGTAGAGGCCGTAGCTGTAGCAATTCCGAAAGGTCAAGGTCGTAACTGCTACAGTCCTGAAAGGTCAAGGTCGTAGCTGCTACAGTTCCAAAAGGCCAAGTCCGCAGGCTTCCGGAAGGTCCGGAAGTGGCCTTTCGAACGTTGCTCACAGCAGACCAGAGGCAAGTGGGCAAGTGGTGAGTCCAGCCTTGCTTAGTCAGCGGTACCCAGTCCCAGTCTCACTTAGTCCAGTCAGCAAGTACCATGTGGGACTGTGTGCACCAAGGGCCTGGTGGAAAGGGGGCAGACCAGCTACAAAGAGAAGTATAACTGACGCATGTCCAGTGGGACAATGCGCAGGGAGCCAAGGATCCGCTATGTGATGAAAAGGACTGAAATGGACAATGCAAGGTCAGTGCAGCATCAACAAGCAATGTACATTCCGGATACATACAAGATGGCACAAAATGGCACAACGGAAGGTTTAAAGAGAAGATCTGATCTGATCTGGACTGACCCGACATCCATCACACATCACACATGTGAGAGAGGGAGGAGGGACCGCACACATGGAAGAAAGGTCCCTCCTGCGCACACGTACATGGGGAGATACCACGGATGAGAGATGGGGGAGGGACGAGACGAGGAGGAAGGAGGCGAGGGAGTAGACCAAGATCGCAATAGCGAAGTCCAAAAAAATAGTCCCTTGCCGAGTGTCCAATCAATGTCCGTCCCAGAAATGTCGAATCAGATCCTGGGCAATGCGCCCAGCATAACCTCTGCCTGAATCCCTACTGATAACCTCTCACACCCTCAGATTCGAAGAAGAAGAGATAAGGAGGAAGGAGGGAGAAGAGAGAGAGAGAGAGAGGGAGAGAGGGAGAGAGGGAGAGATGGAGGAGGGAGAGAGGAAGATGACGCCCTCCCCGCTATCTCACCTGCAGGTAGCTGTCACTGAACTGACTTCGTCCGTTGCTGTGTGCAGGTACTGCGTGGCGCCCAGCTATGGCGCCAGGTAAGCTCGCCGACTGCAGGTATGGCCTCCGCCACTCCCTATCTCTCCTATGCCCTACTCTCTACTCCGTTACTTAGCGCAGCATAGCGCAGCCTCCAACCAGCAGCGTGTCGCCCAGAAGTGGGCTACTCGAACTGTCCCTGGCCCAGCCGCTGCCCAGCTATTTGTAGCGCTGGGCGGCTGGGCCTTCCTGGTGCTGTGTGGCCTAAAACGGCCCAGGTGGTCTGGGTCCCTACCGGACGTCCAGACCTTGCTGCTGCTGCAGCATGGCGGAGAAATGCGCCTGGCCTAAAAACGGCCTTCTACCAGTGCACCTGGCCCAACGTGCTGTCTTGGGTCCTGCAGGACCGAAACGACATCGGTACCTGTTGGTTTGGCGCCAAAATGGGCCTGGCCTCGTTTCGGGCCTGCCTCCGGTGTACCCAGTCCCAAGGTCCGGCCTTGGGGCTGCAAGTCCGAAACAGCACCTGAACAGACAAAAATAAGACAGCACACACACACCAAAAAAACGGTAAGTAAAACTACAGCCTATCTACCTAGTGTGCTGCCTAGGGCCTGGAGGGCCGTCGTGGGCCTCCAGGGCGCGTGCTGGATGGTACGCGGCCTGGGGGGCCCTCAGCAACCGTCGGGCCCCTCAAATGGGGCCCGTGCGCAGGCGCAGCATGCAACAATAAATCAAGAGTCAGCGTCCAGCCATTCATTCATTTCTGCATGAGCCATGCGGAAGCGCTGCCTAGGCGTCTTGTGCGAGGTGGTCTGCAGATGCCCAAAGTCGAAGATAAGAGTGTCCCCCATAGTCAGTAGTAGCGAGCGGCCATAGCCGCCATAGGTTAGAGTTAGTGATTTAGTGAG